ATATAAGTAATCCTAAGTAGAATATAAATAGATGGCTTATAGAACTGATGCTTGTAGAACTGCTGCTTATAGTATTGCTGCTTGTAGAACTGCTGCTTGCAGAACTACTGCTTATAGAACTGCTACTTGTAGAACTGCTGCTTGTAGAACTGCTGCTTGTAGAACTGCTGCTTGTAGAACTGTTGCTTGTAGAACTGCTGCTTGTAGAATTGCTGCTTGTAGAACTGCTGCTAGTAGAACTGCTACTTGTAAAACTGCTGCTTGTAGAACTGCTGCTTGTAGAATTGCTGCTTGTAGAACTGTTGCTTATAAAAACACTGCTTATAAAAACGCTGTTTATAAAAATACTGCTTATAAAAATGTTGTTTAAAGTAGAATATATTTGTAATATATGCATAATAAATGATAATATATNTATATATATATATATATATATATATATATATATAAAAATGGTGGTGGTGAATAAAATAAATATAATTCTGTGTGGAATGCATTTCATTTTTTTTTTAGTTTTTAATTTTATAATTGTTAATATTTTATATTTTTATGATAATGAATGTCTGTGTCCCATAGAATTATACATAATTAAATTAAAATATAATTTAATTTTTACTTTCAGATTTAGCTTGTCGCGTCGGTTTTCTTTAAAATTCCTTTTGTTGTTTATTTTGCACAACGATCAAAGAATGAATGTTTTGCAAACATCATCAAAAGGAAGATTTATTTTTATTGATATTAATTGATTTTTTAAATAAATTTTGCGTAAAGGAGGGTGGATGGGATCGTGGATAGGGTGGGTCTCCAATTCGCAGCAACCTCCACGTGGTGAGACCTGGAAAATCATTATTATTCACTATATAATTCATAATTATATCTATAATACAATTATAAATTTTATAGCAAATAATATGAGCTAATTGGCTGCGCATGCGATTATAATTATTATTTTTTTATATAATTATTGAGATTAATTAAGTTATTGGTAATATTTTTATTTTGATTTTAAAAATTATAATGAATCATTTATTACTTTATTCATAATAAATATTTTAGGATCCTGTATATATAATTTTTTTTTAAGTTTAAGATAAATATAATTTCTATGTTATCCATGGTAAATTGCAAAGAATATAGGAAACATTCTACTTTTTTCAAAGTCGATATTTCAGAACATAAGATACAAAAAATCCCGTAAGATGTCAGGTCCTGTATCTCATCTATGATACATATTATACGATATTATTGATATAATATGAAATGAGACAACAGTGCTAATAGAATGAGAGAAATTATAATTAAATATCATTATATGATTTTTTATACGGTCAGCAATTCAGAATATAGTATACAATATTTCAAAGATAGTAGATCTATTCTGTATTTTGTCTGTGGTTAGATCCAAACGAAGTATAGATATGCTATGTAAGTGCTGCTCCCTGTACGTGATATAAGAATCATGAAATTTTTAAGGTTAACTTACTCTAATCCTAAAAACTAATGTGAAATTTATATTTGTTAATGATATGTATATTTAAATATCTTGACGAAAATTTGTTAAGTCAATGTTAGATTAGATTAGAACCAGTGTTATTTAGTGTATAACATTTTGATTGTTAATGTTAATTTTAAAATTTTGATTATTATTTGTATTTGGTGAATCCAGTGTATAAAACAATGAATCAAATTAATTTTTAATCGAATCATTGTAAAGAATAATTTAAAATATTGGAACGAAAATGATCCAGTCTTAAGAGACAAATTATTGACAAAAAACTGAATTTAAGAAGCATATGAAAATATAATCAAAATAGATTGAAATGTTTAATTTGAATATATTATTTCGTAATTTTTGTTTTGATTTGATACTAGCAAATTATTTTCAAAAATTTTGGCGGTAAAAGTGTAGTGACACCTGGAGCATGTTTATTGTAGTTATACGGAACTCATTTTGATCAATTATCAACATTTGAATTTAAAAAACGGTATGTATCGTTTAAATATTCGAAATAAATTTTCAAATTATTGTCTTTTTTTACGTGTATGACATATAAAAGAAGTAAAATTGAATATTTTAAATATTAATAGCATTCATATCTAAGATGAAAAATTAGGATATTTTCAAATATTTTCTGTATTGAAATAAAATAATTATTCAATATTATTTATTTTTTCGTGAATATCAACATGTCTATTAAAAAAAACGATTGATAATTATACAATTACAATATATTTAAAGTATTTGAAATAATATATAATTAGAAAATCTTTGGTTGAATGATTGAAACAAAAAATTGAAGTGAGGTTATGATATTATCGAATGTATCTATTTAATCTTGTGATGATTAAGAATATTATATATATGCACGTTTATATAAATATAATCTTTATTAATTTTTTAATTTAATGAAATAAATATATTTCATTTTACTCAACTTTCATGATATATTTTTAATTTGAAGAGAACGGAAGAGAAATAATTACATCTATCATTATGGTGGAACTACCAAGACTTGCTTTGGATATTGCAGTTCCTCCTAATGCTCTTGCTCGTCGCGGTGGTGTTACTATTTCTGAAGATATTATCTTGACATTTCTTCAAGTAAGAAAAATTATTTTTTTCTCTATTGTTTATTATCTTCTCGAATTTTTAATAACTATATCTAGAGAATATATATCTCATTCAATTCTTTATGCATCTTCTAAATCACCTCGATATAAACTGCACTACTCGATAACTATTTTAATGCATCGGAAATATAAGAAAATTTATTTTATATTAAACAGTTATTTTTTATAAAATATAAATATATTTGAATTTAGATTAATCTATTTAAACTCTAATTAATGTTAACTCATTGCTTATAACAGAATTATATTGAAATAATAACTTTATCGAAAAATATAATATCGATTTTAAAATACATAAAGATATTGAATGAAATTATTGATACCAACAAGAGGAAATATTCATGTTAATAAAACACGATATTTCTTATCTGATCGATCCACAGAGTTCATATTAACTAAATATTTGTGGGTAATGTAACATCAGATATATTTTACGATATATAGAAGGAAATCAGTTCGTTTCACAGTTTCTTTGTATTATATACACTGAATGTATGTAATTCGCGATACGTCTGGCTTCGAAGGAATATTTCTATCGAGCGTGTACAATCTATCATTTGCACAAACATTAGGTAATCCGCGTTAAAATTAACTTCATTCAATTGCTGATAGAGACAGAATACAATTATTTTTAATATAATTTCAATAGTTATCTTTGATTAAGTTCGATAAATAGATATTAAGTATATTTTATAAAGAATAAAAATAATTTCTTTTTTATAATAATTTTATCGCTTTTCTATAAAATTATTATTTTTAAAATTATTATTCATTCAATTTAACATGAAATAAAAATTATCAAAAATAACAATTCGAGAAATTAATTTAAAAATATTTTAAACATTCGATATTTTTAATCATATGTATTTTTGCATACAAAGTTGATTTTTATATCATATTAAAAGGATATAGATTAAGTAAGATTAAGGAATCAAGGAATAGGATTTGAGATAAAATTGATAAAATTATCAATAGAAGAAGTTTATTATTGATTTTTATCATCTTTTTTGAACAAATTCTTTTCCTTTATAATACATTCCCAAGTTAGAGTTCTATTCGTAAAAGTCAGTTCATAAATTTATTGAGAGATTGATCCATGCAAGGAAAATCCTTAATGTCATTGAACCAGATGATCTGTCTGGTAAATCTTGCTTACAGATGGATAAATTGTATTGAATTTTATTTTTTGGATTGAGAATTTAAATTGATGAATTATTCAATTACCAATTGACTGATAACATTTCTTAGATTATACACACTGCCAAAAATTTAATTCTTAATAGTGTAGTAAATTTTTTATAAAAATTTTTTTAGAAATGAACAAATCCATTTTTCTTGAATTACATGGTATTCTAAAAATCTAGTAATAACTTAATTAGTCAACTATATAAAACAATTATATTACAAATGAATCCAACACTGAATGATATCAATAAAGTTAAAAAAGTGTTTTTTTCCTTTATTATTTAAATTTAAAAGCTCCTTTTACGTTCAATAAAAATTTTCGATCATCGCAGTAGCATGCATACCTCTCGGGACACTATACCATACAAAATTTCCCAATAGGGATGCTGCGAATAGGAGTGGCTCTCGAACTTAATGGTCATTGCAAATAGGAGCGAAAAGCAACGATACTCGAAACTATACAATCCAATAATAAAAGATCTTCGAATCGGATAATGCAAAATAATATATCTATAAAATGATTGCACATTTTTCCACTTATATACATGTTTCAATAACTGATAATAGAGTTGTTGGTGATTGATTAAAAAAAGAAAATAATGAAATATGAGAATAGGAATAATCGAAGGGAGAAAAGATGGAATAACGGGAACAGCGACAAGCCTTTCACACGGGAGAAGGTGCGCTTCAGGTGCGTGAAGTTAGGATCGATATTGCAACTGACTCCCTGGGCCATGACATGCCCCTGCGGCAACCATCGGCTACACGCGATCGTTCTAAAATTAAATGATGAAATTCATTCCTTCCTTCTCTTTACCTGTCCTTTTCATTCACTTTCTTCTCTTTTCTCTTTTTTTCTCTCCTATCTCTCCCATTTCTCTCTCTCTCTTTTTCTCTCCTCTTTTTCCTAACAATTATCTTCTTCATTAACTCTCAGTTTTTTATGCTTTTTTTCTCTTTATTTTATATTTATGCGGTATTTTGTTTCTCTTTCATCCTGTTGTTAATTTTTCCCCTCCGTTTTAGTTGCTTTTCTTCCTTTATCTTTGCTCTTTTTTTGATCTTCTTTTTTTCTTCACTCGTATTCTTTTCATTTCTTTTTAATTGGTCTCTTTATCATCCATTTTTTTTCATCTATTTTCATCTCTTTTCCCCTTCACTTTTTGTTTATGCTTTCTCTTTAATTTATTTTAATTTTTTTCATGCGAATGTTTAAAATTAAATATTATTATAATAAATATTTGTATATTTTCTTTTTCGTATTATCCTTTTTTTCTTTCTTTTTTTTTTTTTTATCAGTATATTTTGCTTCGATTCTCTCCGATACTCTTCATTTTTTTATTCCATTTTTTCCAAAAGGAGAGAAAGAATTTTCTTTATATTTTTTATGATCTCCTTTCCACTACTTTTTTTCTTTTCATCGTTTGACGCTTTTCCTCCCACGATGTTTCGTCATACGCATTCGTGTCACGAAACATGTGCGACATCTTATCAGTGACGTAACGCGGACCGTGTCATTCAGTGCGTAATCGTCCTTGGGAGATCCTGAGAATCACAAATCCTTTAACCTTTTTTATATCGTATTAATTTTTCATCGTTGTAATTTCAGTTACAATTTATCCATAAAAAAAGATGGATTAAATGTATTTTATGAATCATTGATGATTCACGACAATCAGGAAATAAATCTTTCATTTCGAATAATATTATTAAAGTATAAGAGTATGTCAATTCAAATATAACACAATTTTTTATTATTAAAAATTTCTCACGTTGTTAAATTTGTATTGTAATTAATAATTGGCAAATGATTACTATTATCGTTTCGAGATTTAGTAAAACGTTGTGCTATTCATATTGTTAATTGTATTGAAACAATAGTGCGGATAAAGATAAAGCACGGTACAAATCTTCGGTTTCATTCGCACAAAGAGGATTCTTCATCCTTTGAAATCTTATCTGATAGCGATGATTGAATAACTAGTTTTTTTTGTAGATTGAAAAGCAAAGCACATAAAAGAAATTGAATAACGAAAATAATTAATTTACTAAAAAAAGAAATTAAGATTGAAATTCACTTACGAATATATTTTTCTATAAAAATTAATATATTGTTTGTAGAAAATTCTAATGACATGTTTAATATTTATAAATGTGCGTTTGATATTTTACTGATAACGTATGGATGATTTTTTCCTCAGGTCAAATCAATTAATCCTGCGACAATGTATTGGTTGCACGCGATATTGCTAAATTTAAACCAGCTCCTTGGCACCTGCACATACATTTCTGTGTGACGTTTACTAAAGTCAGCTTCATAAATGCAATCATTATAGTAAACTCGATTTAGTTCTAAGAAGGAAATAACAATATAGTGTATCCCAAACTGGCTTGTGAATACGTAGGTTTCCTTTTGTTCGTTTCCTGAAATAAGCATCGCATTCACCATTATTCCTTTCATCTATTTAAAGCTTAAAATTATAGAGAATCGCGAATACTTTCACGATTGTAAAAATAGACTGTTTACTTGTTATTTATCGGTCGATTAACTGTACTCGTTAAACGTTCATCAACCAATTCGAATCAAATATCTTTTATAATTAAGCGGAAAACGACATGATTAACGATCATACCAATTCGTTATCTTCGTTAATGGTTTATTAAGAGTTCTTCTTACATACGTTACGTACGTTGTACGTTACAAAATAAAAAAAAATCATCAAGAAAGAAAATTGTCAAATCAAAACGTCACTCCGTATCGACTATATGCGGCACCGCGACCCGATTCTCAAGCAGTGCAATCTTCGGTGAACCTCGCACACTCTCGTGAACGTTCGGCTACTTCTAGGCGAGTGTCTTCTTCGCTTCGAGTCTCATTGATCTCTCGGACGCGGTTGCGCGCAATAGTCGGCAGACGGCGGTGGTACTCTCGCCGACCAATCAGCTGTCGTGATTCCCTAGCTACGCTCGAGTCTCGTGGTCCTTGGCTAGCCGGCCTCTTGTTGTTTTCCATCGTGGGCTTCGCTAACCCGTTTGGTTGTTCGGTGGTGCGGCGCGAGGCGCGTTACCAAACGTCGCTAAAACGTCAAACGTGTACGCCAGAAATTTGATAAAAAACGCGTGGACGACGGCGGCCACGACGCGGACGACAATTAGTAGCGACGTCCTCGGTGACAAGGTTCGAGCGGATCGTACGCCCCCTTCTTGTCGCCGCCGTCACCATGATACCGTACTCCACGTGCTTGTCTTTTGGGGGCCGACGCGACGCTCGTCGCTGGGTGGTCCTACACGACGAGTCCTCTCCCTACTACCCGGTGAGTCGCAGTACGAATACGCACGAGCACGCACGAACGTGTCACGTTCCTCGACTAAAAAGACGCGCGGCCGCCACCACTCGAAATCTCTTCTTTTTCTATTCTAGTGCAATCTGAAACTAGGGGAAAGTTGTGTTTTGGCAGCGTTGTGTTGATGCACACTTCACACATATACACGTAGACACGCATACTCATTTGTGGATACGAGTACTGTATATGCATTTCGATTCGCGTGCGCGACAATGCCTCCGGGTTCGATGAACGTCTTCGATTGCCTCGATTCATTTCGATGTATGCAGAATGCATTTGCCGGATAAATCCACTCGATTCCTCTTTCCGGCTGACATTTGATATGTAGGCGATATATTGTCGTGCGATACATCGAAGCTGTATATTTTTTTTTTTCAAAAATTTTAACGATGATTTTTTGTTTTTTTCGATTTCGTTGATTTTTTAACGCTTGACTACCGGGTTTGATGTATTTTACGGAACAGGAAAATTTAAACTGCGTGTATCTTGTATAATAAATTATATATTTTTAAATTTTACGTAATTCATGAGTAAAAGATACAGTGAGTTATTTTATGATTGACCTAAATACATGTGCAAATGATTCTCATCTTCTTTTCGAAATTATTTTAACTACAAAATTACGATAATTATATAGGGAAAAGTATAATAAATGTGACATGAAAATTGAGTTAAATGAAGAATACTTACATGTGTAATAATACAATTCGACAATGTATTTCAATTAATAAACACAGTGAATGAACTTGATTCAAATGGAAAAATTATTTATCATTATTCGTTCGTTAATCATAATTCTTTTTTATTAATATTAATAATATATAATGTTTTCGTACAAAAATTTATAATTTTCGAGGATAAAATATATTTTATTGAATTATATTCCTGCAATTTAAAGAATGATTTGTTTTTTCTTATCATTCAACTGGATGAAACCATGACAATGGTAGATGATAGGAAATAATAGGATTTAAAGTTTTATCAAATGACCCGGTAATCAGATAAGTCTATCCATGAATATTAAAATGAAATGAGCACGGTCATTGCAGGTTATTATAAAATGGAATTGATTCCACTTGCAAATGAGTTGCATTTCTTCTTTTGCTCTGATCGAAAATATGGACGAATATTTATCTATGGAATAGCTTTTCTCATTTTCATGGAATTCGTATTTAAACATTTCAAGCATTTCAATTATTAAAATGATAAGTTTGTTTGAGTAATTAAACACTACAATGGCAATAAACAAGGTAAAACGTCTAATTTTGTATTTCTGGTTAATATATTATATTTTCTTCTATATATATATTTTTTCATTTCTCGAGTATTTCATATCGTTATTAAAATTAAATTTATTTATTCAATTTTACAAATTTAGACAGAAATTAGAATTATAAAAATATTATCATCAAAAAAAAATAATTATAATTAATTTTATTACAAATTAAAATATAATCATGCTTAATGATTAAATAATTTTAATAATACAATTTAATAATACAAAAAAATACTTTAATTTCTTCGTAAAAATAAAAAATAATGCGATCATGTGTCACACAAAAATGGAGAAAAAAATTTGAAATGTAAAATAATTTGTGCAAAAATGCATCCAGGGTATATCGTAAGCGTAAACGCATTTTTAAGAGTTTGCAAAAAAGTTGATTACGCACTGTCGAGCAAAATATGCGTCCTTTGAACGGTGGGTCATATCGAAGGGTTGTTATAAACGAATTATTTCACGGTGATTGTTGTTCACGGTTGACATTTTGTCACTGTAGGTGTAATCGATTAAAAATTATTTAAGTGAATATAACATTTTTTTTTCTCTCTAAACCTAATCGATTTTAAAAATGAAAATTGATAAAATAATTATCAAAATGCAAAAATCGCAATTGCAAAAGTATTACAAACTAATTAAAAGTATAATGATAATGATAATTTATTTTTAATAATTTTTAATAATTTTTCTTTTCTCTATCGTGCATTTTTAATTTCGAATGTTCATTTTTTTTTATTAATTTCAATTTTAATGAAATTAAACAAGAAAATTAGAGTTTTTTTGTTTAGAAAATATTTGATTGAATTAAATATTAAAAATTTTATTCATAGAATTGAAATATTAGAATTTTTTTTTTTTAAATAAAAATTAGATAGACTGGAAGATTCTTTGTTTAAACGGATGAAGTATGTGATAATCGTGTAGTTCCTTTGTAGTTCGTTCACACGTTCTTCTGCCCCCTTTATTTTTCATTATATCGATCGATAAATACTTCCTTGTATTTTTCTATTTATACAACTTATACAGGTTGTTCCATTAACCGGGACATTTGTCAGAGAAATTTAATTTACAGTTTGCTCAAATCAATTATTTTTTTTAATAGCATATTTTTACAATAAAATTTAATAAAAAAAATGGAATGTTAAATGATATTTAACGATACTCAATTTTTCAACAATATTCAATATTGTTGTCCATTAAAGATAAATAATCAGAGAATAATTTTTTCCATGAATTTTTCAAACATATTTTTTTTAACTGGATATACAATAAAAATTGATTGTATCCATTATTCACTTTTATTTTAAACAAAACTTCATAATGTTAGTTAAAACTGATTTTTCGATATTGTGCGATAAAAAAAATTAAACTCGAAACAGTTTAGAATTATAATCAATCAATTTACATAATTATCGCGAGAAAGGAGGAAAACAATCATTGAAAATATAAATTTCTCGTGTATTAATTTTTTCTTTTATATTTAATCTTTTATGAATTTACAGTCATATTACAATTGGGGGAGGGGGGAAGGTAGGGAGCAAATGGAATGTTATTTAGAAGACGAAATAAATCCAGAAATGCTATAAATTAACATAAATATACTTGATAGCCTTGTCAGACAAAGATTTAACGTAATATTTATTTTTCCGAATTGACCTAAAAAAATCAGGGATATTTTTTTCTTATTTTCATTTTTCTTAGCGTGTGTGACGCATGGATACAATTTCTGTATCGTTTCTGATCTAATTCTGTAATCCACATGTTCTCGTAGATTTTCATTCTCATCATCTGATCGTAAATTAAGGCATTTCGAAAATATTTCGTAACCTTGCCCCCCTTTACAACTAATTGGGACGCAAATATACAGGCTATTTCGCGATATGTAAAACATATTATTAATTTCAGTTCATTATTAATTTGTGTAAAAGAAAAGAAAAAGAAAAAAAAAAAAATAAAAGTTTCATTGGATATATTTATAAAATTTTATTTTTCTCTCCTCCCTCCTTCTTTTGTTTTTTCGTTATAAATTGTTAAAATTCAAAAATATAAAAAAAAATCTACTATGCATATCATGCATGTGAAAAGTGAATTTTTATATCCTTTTTTTTTTTTATTATTATTATTCCTGGATATTATATATACATTTAATTAATGTAAAAGCTTTGGTTTTGAATTTAGCAAAACCTTGCACAGGTTTTTTTTTTTTCTACATCGCTCTTACATTCGAATGGTTTTCCATTAGGCAAATTTTGCGAGAGCCGAGATATATAAATGAAAATGTGATGCTACGGTTCAATGAATACAATGCATAGATTAATATATCGCAAATACGTAGTGTAATTATTTAAGGCATACTTTAAAAATTTCCTGTTATTCGATTCTCCTTTTCCGTAATGATTTTCCAATATCGTTTACGTAATATCGAATTTATCTAATTTTTTTTAATAATCCAGTCGTTCAACGATCTTCCAATTTTAATCCAATTTTAAATTAATTTAAGAATCAAATAATTCTATTCGAAATCGAGATGTTTTCCATCTTTTTGTACACAATAATATTAATTAATTTTCCCATTTTCGCAAAAATTTCGCAAAAAGGAAATTAAAGATCCCTTCTATTCACAAAATCTTACCATTAATCTGGCCATTAATTGGTCAACATTATTGATCTCTGATTGACCATTACCTTGGCCACTGATTGACCATTTACTGACCAATCATTAGTCGATCGTGGCTAAGTAACGATCCGCCAATTACCGAGCGTAGCCTATTATTATTATTCGAAATAAAAAATGAAACACAAATAGAACGAAATGAATAATATCATTAAATTAAACTTTCAAATATAATGGAGAACAATTTGATAAATTTAATCTTTTCGTTCAATTTTTAATTTTTTAAAAAGAATCAAGTGAATGATGGAAAATTTATATCAATATAATGATAGGGATTATAAAATTCTCTCTCTCTCTCTCTCTCTCTCTCTCTCTCTCTCTCTCTCTCTCTCTCTCTCCCTCCCCCCTTCCCTCCCTCCCCTCCCTC